AACGTTTCTGGAGACTCCCAAATTGTACCATACAAAAGATCTGAGCCTGAGAGCCATGACTATTTTGACAGAATACGTTGGTACCTCCCTGCCAAGACTCAAGCCTGGTGACTTGCAACTGAAAGTCAGTCAGTCTGCTATATTTGGCTCAGGTGGCCACAGTCGTAGTCCTCGACATACAAAGAGTTTTTAAAATCTTCTACTTTTAGACTGCAGAAAGACATGACCATGGAGATCAAGAGAAAAGTTTTAAATCTTGCTTTCAACAGTGACTCGCTCTTATTTTGGACAAGTCATTTAATTTTCTTCTGCCTCGTTCTACTTTGTAAAAAGCAGCAACAATTTCCAAATTTGCAAACGTTCTGGGGACAGTTTAAATCCCATTTGTATTCCTCTAACCTTGGTATGGACCCTATTTCCGTGCTGCTTGCAACTGCTCAGAAGCTCTTCTAACTGGCCCATAACGGTCCAAGCACTCCAAGCGCAAGCGAGCGCGATGCAGGGGCACTCGGACGGCTTCTCCTCAAGTCTCACTGACCTGTTGTTACTCTCACAGCACTGGCAAGAGGCTTGCACCAGCACCCACGCATGGACTCTGGGCAACAGGATAATATCAGGGCCAGAGAGAATGGGTTCAAGGTCAAACTACCCCAGTACTAGAGATTCTGGTTGTATGTGCCATATACAGAAAGTCCATTTAGGAGCAAAGTTCCACTATTTCACCAGCTAACCCACCCCTCCCTAGCTAAACGTGCTGTCAAAATATCCTCACCGCACTGGAGTATTGCCTATAGGCCTTTTCTCCTCACCTTGCAGCAAGATACTCTATATTGGATAAGATAAGATTGGCAGCAAATGATTTTTAGAAATTCACCATTACCTTCTGTATAACTCTCTGAGGTTGAAATTTGTTTTATGAACCTTAGTCACAGACAGTATTCCATTTATATATGAAGGTGTTACTTCCTCTGAAGCTGCAAAGGAAGCCACAAATCCTCCTAATATTGATGACACATGAAATCCTCTTACTAAAATTTTAGCCTGATTAATCTGGTTCTATGAACAACAGTCTAAAAATAGCTTAATTTGTTTGGTGTGTGCTTTTGGTATTGTCTGATCTTTTTCCTTTTCATCAATTATTGATCAAAATTGAACTTTAGAACCATAAAACACTCACGTAATAACCATCACTGATTGTTTGATACCAGCTGTTTCATAAGCTGTGCAATCTTTTGCGATAAACATTAACAGATAAAAATCTTTCTTACGTATTATTGCTCCTGTATTTAAAAACGTGCAGATAAGGTAAAACTGCTGTAGATTTTTGTCATTAACTCTGATGCCAGGAGTCAGTATTTTACAGGCATCATGCTAATGCAAAATGCATTAGCACTAACACGGGCTACCCTTCTGACAATGTGTTTAGGCCACTTCAGCTTCCTTGACTGAGTTCTCACCTTCACTTGTTTTTGTTTCTCTGTCTACTTAATGCATTTTCAGCTATCATCATGTCAGTTCAAGTAGGATGTTTATTATTTAGAGCTCTCCGTGGACTGTATTAAGAGTTATTTGTCTTCTGTTTCTAGTATACGTTACATTTAATTAAAGTATAAAGCGTCCTGCTTTGATTCATCAGTGACAAAGTAGCTCATCTTTTAGAGATCGTCTGAAGAATACAAAACACTTCACATATGTTAGAAAAAGGCATTTCATCCTAAGAGAAAATTTATGTTTGTTGGTGTTGGAAGATATTCTAGGTCCAGTTCTAATAAAGTACTGAAGATTAGTAATTGACAGTAACCATAATTTAGTGCAGACACTAAAATGCTCCCAGACTTCCTAAAAACAAAATACAGTTCAAGACTATATAACACTTACAACATAGACATTAAGCAATAACAAAACACTATAAAGCAGCTCTCGGTTGTTTCCAGAGGAGCCGCTCTCTATCGCCAGTATGGTTGATCATCAAAAGAGGGAGCTGAGGCAATGTTTCAAGTGTCATGTCATCATGTAATTTAAAAATCACATCACAGTATGTACTGAGGAAACATTCAGTTTTGTTTTGATGTGTCCTAACTAAGCAGTAAGAGGTGGCCTGCCACTTTAAATTGCATTATTTAAACTTGTCTGACTGCCACTTGACATGACGGTTACAAAACCCGTTTGTTAAAATATTTGCTGATTGATTTATTGTTCCTTCTTTTAAAAGATTCTTTAAAGCATGTTTCAGCTACTCGCAGAGGCAAGACACCAGAAAAAAAACAAGCCAGTGACATCTCCAGTGGTAATCACACAAATGAAAGCTATATTGAAAGAACATTATTAAGGCTGAAAAGTTAAACACACACTCATGTTAGACGACAGTTGCCTGTGTGCCCTTAATTTAAATCCCTTGGATGTATGTTCTTACGATATAGTCTTTAATGCTATTAACTGATAAAATGTCACGTAACTATGCACGTTACTATAGTGTCTATGCAGAAAAAGGGACAAATTAAGATTTCACTAGCAAGTCATTCCGGGATTTCCTCGCTACAGGTTGTTGTTGATAGCACCTTATCTTATACCTACTGTAGGTCCTCTGTGTAAGCTATTTTCCAGCTTTATTGACACTTACATGGGTCATGAGCAGAGCAGATCTGGGTCAAGTACAGCCCCTGCTGTCACAGCTCGCCTCACCTTAGAATCCTTGCAAAAACTGATATTGCTCGGTCTTACAGCAAAACTGTTCTAGTCCTGTTTCTCACACTGGAAAGTTATTTCAGAACTTTGCTCTTCTGATGATTAAAAAGGTACTTGTAACTTTCAGCCTTTTTGTAATCACAAACAACTTTATATTACTATCTATCAATCCTATCTAAAACTGAAACAGCGCCTTTCCTTTCTTGGTATTTGGAGTGGAGCGGTATGGATAAGGTTCTTGCATTTCTTCTTGTTTTTTTTTCTGTGGGCAGAAGATGCACGGTGTTCTAGTCCAGACTCTCCCAGTAATCCTTTCCTGGGCCGGCTCTGAGTTCATTCTTGCACACAGATGAATACTGTGGTATTGATATTTGCTGACTGATTTCCCTCTTTTATCCCGACTGAGTTGAAACATCAGTCTCACCAGAGCACACTCCTACATTCATTCATCATCGAGCACGACCGCTCCTGCCTTAGAAGAAATTATTTGCTAAAAAGCTAAGGCTATCTCTGCTATACTTAACAACAAGTGAGATTTTCAAAGACCTGTCAACTGGTCAAATTTTGATAGACTGGTGGAACAGCAAAAGGCACGTTTCTGCCAAAAATCCTTCGTTGCCAAGTTTCCAGTTCCAACTCCAAAGTACGGCACTTGCGAAAGAAAAGGTCTCAAAAACTAGTGGTGCTTAAAAAAAGATGGTTTGTGTTGCTTTTTACAGTAAGTAAACCCTCAAACAAACAATTGCTATCAGGCATAATAAACATAAGAACAAAAATAATGAAAGTCCTAACAGGCGTGATCAGGCCCTAAGAAAGAACTACTTACAAACACAGCAGTTCATGTGAAAGTAAGATCCCCTTAAATGAGTTACTAGATCGCAGTTCAAATGATTATCTGGTGATTTTTAAGTCTTTAAAAGAACCTAGACTATACGGAAATTATCATTCTGTTTATAGGTCTAGTTAAGTATTGGCGTTTACTATTAGATTTCAAAACCCAAAGACAACAAAGCTTTTACAAATTCTGTAATATATAAAAATTCAGGGATTTAAGAAACAAAGAATGAAAACAAGGCGGCAAACCCTTGTAACCTACATCCCAAAACTACAATCAGCTTTAAAAATCTTGCCTTTGTGGATTTCCTGGTCTAAAATGTATGGACTCTAAAACCTCAATTTATGCAGCTTTCACCGAAGACAATACTATTCATAATTAAGTCATGATAAACACAGAAGAAGGTATAAAACAGACTGGTTTGACTAACAATATAACTATATTACAGTGTTTCCACCTGAGAAGAGGTTCTCAATATATTTTCTAAAATATATTTGAGAATTAGATATGGCAACATTTTACTGGTACAGAAACCCACTGAATCCTCAGAGCAAACGTAGCTAAACAAAGACAGGCCCTCAGTCCAGAGCTTTAGCTGTACAAGCTCATCTCCTGCTAGGAATAAAACTAGAGATTAAAAGAAAAACTCTGATTTTTAAAAAGTTATTGAAAACGTTGCTCACTTCTGCTCAACTCCATGCCATGTTTATTTTCAACCGTACCTAGCAGTCCTAAAGAAAACACCAAATTATACAGTGCATACATTTAGCACTTCTTACTGAAAGCAATTCTCTCAAAACGATTCCGAATCCTTAAAGTGCAAATGCAGCTAATTTGCGTTATTTGTGTTCAACTGTTCACGTTTAACTGCTCAAGTTCAACTCAACCTAAAGACAGACCGAGACTTGCATTCCTAAATTACGTGGTGCCTGAGAAAATTGCATTTATTTCTTTTTAAAATCTGTTGACATCTTTCATTTCAAAGTGCAAGCTATTCAAGCGAGGGACAAGATCTTCCTCCTGGTCTGCGCAGTGTGCCTACTGCAATGGAACCTGACAGAAACCTTTGGTCACTTCTTTGCTGTGTTAATCTACATTAATGTTATATTTTGCCACTTGCAGAAAGGCTAAACATCAGCTAGACACCTATAACACGGTTAGGCAACTTAAACATCTTTTAGACTTCTACAGCACGGTTATACTGCCTTTCCTGATAATGGATACTGAATTTATTTTCTTAATGATATTATGCTATAGTATGTTTGCTAATGGTTAGTAACCCAAATTCCCTGTCTTTTCCTGCTCTATGAGAAAACATGACCATATTTAAATTACTTTAAAAATAACAAAGTCCACAGAGCGTCAGACCAAAGATCCATCTAGTTGCATATCCTCCAAGAGTGGCCAGCAGCAGTTATTTAGAAGCAAATACCAGAAGAGGATATGCAGATAGTAATATTTCTCTTTTTTCTTTTCCTAGGTTCCAGTGGCCCGCTGTTCATGGACTTACAAGCACTTCTGTATCAAACCTTTTGCATCTAACGCTACTGTGTGTTCTTTAGCTTACCCATCCACAAAATCAGTTTTATAGACACGTTTTCTTATCATGGTAAGAGACTGTGTGCACTGGTACTTGGTGGTTGGATGAAAGGAAATATTTAATTGCTTAATTACTTAATGAAAATACCATATGATCCACGAAGCAAAGTTATTCAGCCTCTGTAAAGAGAAGGCTTAAATGTGTTTTGAATATATTAAACGAAAAAGTCACTGTTACCAGTAGAGGGCAATATTTGCTATGCATAAGTGAGAGGAAGCCTTTAAAAGACAATACTGTGAGCTAAATTATATTTACCCCCTTTGGACCTAGGAGAATGATACTATGATGTACACTGTTGTCTAAGTTATTTGTACGAGATTAACGTTCAAGTCAAAACTGCCACAGTTATCAGCTTTTAAACAACAGTTTAACTAAAACAAAATTGAATAAAGGGGCAAAGTGACTTTTCTAAGGCATCATTAATTAATACTGAACTTAATGTGTAAATAGAGAAACAAACCTTTATTCTCTTGAGGTAGCACGACTTGACACTTGCATGATCTCTAATTTATGATGTTAAGATTTTAATAGCAAGTTAGTATGAGCATTTTATTTTAAAAATATATTCATCTGAACTTTGGATATAATTACTGCTGGGAAAAGGACAAGGAAAAAAGTTAACATAAACAATTGTCAAGTTCAAGCTATTAGATCTAGTCTATCCAAAAAGTCTTCTAGAATTTGTCAGGAACAATTGTAAATTGTGTTTCAGTATCAAGAATCTTAGAATCCTTATAATAGCGATCTTCCCCCCTGACCCCAACCCTAAATGACATGGAGCACTTCCTAAAAATTAGCTAATTACGTTACAATAATCTAGCTAGACTGGTAAGTGTACAGATAGAGAAACTGAGGGGAAAAAAATAAGTTACCTGCCTACAGCCTCAGAGAATAGGGGTGGTTAATGTTAGCATTAAAATTCAGGAACCGTGTGTCAATATTCTGCTTGGTGCCTCTCCCAGCCTCCTCTGGCTAAGTCTGTTCATTTTCTGGGGCTTTAGAAGAGAAATGATGGTAGGATAAGAAATGTTTTGGATAAAATACAAACACAGTTCTTCTGGAATATTAGACTGGAGAAGATGATACAAAAAAAAGCACATTTACAGGAATCCTTTCTAATGGGTAGGCAACTATTTTCAAGCCATGACAAATGCTTGTATGCACTGCACTGCTGCATAAACCCTTGGCATGTTAGAGACTTGAAAAAACTGCTTTGTGTTTCATTTTCAAGCAACTAAAATAGATTAATATCCTCTCATCCAGCTTTTCTTAGTTTTCCACATGATCTCATAAGCCAGTAAATCAAAAAGTTAACTTTAGGGATTTGATCTGAACTACATTACCTGAAACTTGGAACCTTCCTCAAGGAGGAGACTATGATTTGAAAATTGATATAAACAATAATGTGTCAAGACGCTTTCTATCAAGTCAACTGCAAGTGACATCAGTATGGCATACAATATAGTCTCTGTATTTTATGTTCAAAAACATTCAAGGTCAATTGTTAATTACTAAGATCTGAAACATTATTTTTTAGACAGAAATACTTCCTTATTTTGTTGACATGCAAAAATTTGATACTAGCAGATCAAATAACAAAAGACTAATACTAGAAGGACACCAAGTCAATCTCCTGAAGTCTTCAGGCACTAATTACAAGAGCAGCTATTTTGAAATTTCTGTTTTAAGCTCGGAGACTTTTCAAATAGCGTGAGGTCACCAATTGCTTCTTCAATTGTTATTTTCATCCGATATTATGTACTAGCTGACATTTCATGAAATCACGTAATACTAAATTTTAAAAATATACTCTAATAATTATTTTTAACACAAAATCTTAATTTTATTTCAAAGGAAACACCACTGAATTTGAAAAAGTTTTACAGAAAGTTCAGATGAGGTGTCCTATTACAAAATTCCTCTTTAAATATAAATAATTTTCTGAGGAACTCCGAATGTATCTCCTTAATCCTACACCAGTGAGCATAAATAAAGTTCTTAGGTCTAGATGTTTATCGGTATAGATTGCACTGTAATGGAGTTATCCCTGACCAGACTGTAAGATACTATCATCCAAATGACTCTGTTCTCACATTATTGTGAAAAGCTACTTCTATAATGTAACAAGAGCATCCATCCTTTCACACATTCACTCTCACATAAGCGCAAATTAAATCCTTCTTTCTGGAACCATTAAGGGTTACGGGAAGCCAAAGTAATAAATTCACCAAGTCTTAGCTACAGTGTTGCTCATTCATGCCAAGATGATTATCAAGAACCTCATGAGCATTGGTATATGCCAATTTCAGAAAACTCCAGGCAATATCTTCCAAGATACCATCGCAACAATTCAGTGTAATCACAAATAACTTCCAAAACTAACAGATTCCCTTCATTGCACTCACTTATCTTAATTATCTTAACTTCACCCTAAATCTTGTAATGTTTTCAGAATTATGAATCAAATAGAGAAAGAAGTTTAACTACAATTAAGTGCATTATGTCCTGTATGATATCAAATCGTATGACATTTTTCTCTCAGAAGATGGTGACAACGGAAGAATATCTTCATACACACAAAGTCTTGCATATTGCATTTACTAGATGGGAAACGGGCAAATAAAATTTAGACAAAAATCAGTATTGACCTTCCATTATGAAACGAGTTTTCATCTTAAAACCTTCCTATATTAGCTAACGTTTTCCATTTTGAATGGACACTTCAAACTAACTTCATATGAATGTATGTCTGTGTGTGTCAATGCGTATTTATTTGTAGATGTTTCAGTTGGTCATTGTAAGGCTAATACAGATCTTACTGCTCAAGTTAAACTTTCTTTTACTAGTGGCTCAATGAGGAGCTGTGTTTCCATGCTGTGGACCAAGAACGTCAAATTTGGAAAAAAAGGTTGCTTTGGTATCAAGGATATGTCTCACACCCCTTTTGTGCAACTCCGCTCGGATCTGGGGAAGCTACCAAGCCTTTGGAAAACTGTGGTCGGCACTCTACTATGAAGATTGGTAGTAGGCTAAACGTCCACCTCCCAAAAGCATGCCCCGGCTGAACACAGGTAGCTGATAGCCCAGATTAGCGTCGGAAGGGAGGGGCTGTGAGCTTGTTGCCCCGAGGGCTGCAGTGGGCAAGCTGAACTCTCGCTTACTGCCCGAGCTGCTGCAGAGACACTAGCCACCCAAGAGCAGGGACCTTGACTCTCTCGCCTCCGGAGATCCACAGTTTAAGACCAGAAGAGATCATGAAATCCTCTGGTTTCTCGAATTTTATAGATAGCTAAGGCTAAGAACTAGTATTTACCTTAACACAAACAAAACAAACCACTCTTCCTAAAATGATACCCAGTTTTGACTTGAAACGTAATACAAGGAGGCTCTGCCATTCCCTTCACTACTGTATGTTATTTAGCTAACTTCTCAACACATTTAACGTGTACTTTCTCAACACTGTATAATGATAATTTCTTAATAATAATGGCATGTATAAAAGTCAAGCTTTTTGACAAGACTAGGGTAACTGGAATTCATTTCGTTTCCATTCTTCAATTATCTATTGTGTGAATCCATCACTCTTTCTGGACCGACATCTGACTGCCAGTCTGTAGTTCTCCAGGTCATCCTGCTTGCACTCCAATATTTATTCAAAACAAACAGCTGGTCAGAGATCTCAGCCTACTTTTCCAGGACTCTGTTGTTTTGAAACGTATTTGCAGGGTATTTTGAACATACTCTCTAGTTACTAACAGACCGAAAATTATTTTACTGTCCTTTAGTGAAATAAATATTTCACTCTGCTCCATTTAGAACATAATATTTTTAGAAAAACCTTTTCCTTTTTCCTCATCATTATTAAAAGATTAGCCACCTCCATCTAGGAAGAAGCCAGTAATATTCAGATAATATAAACCATATCGAAACTTCTGCTTCACTTTAAAAAGCCCTATAGCTGAGCCAGCATGGTATTTGTCTCTTACCTTTGGCTTCTCTTTTTCTGCACTTAACTAGTTGCCATTTGCTCTGTATTATTTGTTTCTGTCTCGACAGCGACACCGGGCATCCTTTTAGCATCCGCTTCCTCACAAGGTCCTTCAGATTCATTACAGTTTCCTTTCCAGTTAGTTTTGGTCGTATTTTCCTTGTGCTTTTGAAAACTACTCTTTCTGAACCCTCAAATATGTAATTTCACTATTTGGAACTATCTTTCGGTCATACTGAATGTAAGAAAATTATGAAGAGGGTCCCTAAACAATCACAAATTTCTAGACGAACTGATCATTACATGCTACCTTAAAGTAAGTCCAACCAAAATGATCTTGTATTGGATGCAGTACTTTTTACGCTAGAAAATTACAATTTGCAATTTTTAGGCTAATTACATTTTAGTTTTCTGCATTTCATCTACAGCATAAGCTTCTTGTGCAACCGTATTTTTTCTTTACGTACTTTGCAGTCAACTGCAAGTATCACCTTCTTGGGTTTGTTAGTTAGCACACTGAGTGATACGTATTCAAGATCCTTGCATTAGTTAACTTTAAGGCAGGTGCCAGCATTTTTAACATTGCGTCCTGCCATCCACCTGTTTTAGTCACTCTGTCCTTAAACAGGCTATAAGCACCATTTCACATTCCTATTTTGTGAATTGCCCCTAGAGGTTTCAATAACGTCACTGACATCATATTTTTCCCCATTAATGAGAATTTTCCATTTATCTTGCTCATCACCAAGCCTCATCACTGACATAAAATCAACCGCAAATCTTGTTTCCAATTCTCTTGTCATGTGTGCTTAAGATTATCCTAATACACCAACTTCAAACTGCATGTATCTACCTAGGGCACGCTCCTGCCTGCTACGGGCTCCAGCTAGAAAGATTTGCCCCCCCCCCACCAGCGTCCATGCAGTCTGCTCTCTTATGAGACTTTGTTGCAAGGGTTTAGACAAAGAAATCTGCAGATTCACTCTAGCCACAAAGCCAACAATTCACCTCCAATATTTTCTTGTGTGGACTTTCTTTCTTCCTTGTCATTACATCGTCCTCAAACCTCACATTCTGCCTGCCCCTCCATTTCTTTTAAATAGTTGCACTCATGATGTCTGTCAATTTTCTACTATCTGAACCATAATCACTCACAAATACCTTATAGCTGTCTCCTGCAGCTTTCTGCTTTATCCCTCCACAAACAGGATCTTTTATTATCCAGCTTACTTGAGTATATTTACATGACTTGATATTTCTAGACGTGTTGAATGCCTTCTGATTTTGGGTTTTGTTTTGTTCTTGGTTTGGTTTCATTTGGTTTTGGCTACAAATCAGGTACGTTCTCTTCTGAATCCTACCTATTTTTCTCTTTCTTCTGTGTCATCAGTGGGATTGACTTACAGTCTGTCAAAAAAGATACTGTCTTGTGAATGTTTCCAACAAAGTGTTGGAAGATTTCAGCAGAAGGAAGGCAGTCTCATAGTTTGACGACTGAATCCATCCTGGATTTTCCTTCTGCCTTTAGCAAAGGATTTAAAGGAAACAGGGAGTGGAATGGAGCAAAATGGAAGAAACGGCAGTTAGACCAAAATCTCTCAGAGAAGGTCATCAATTTTTGCAGTTTTCCAGATTCCTAATTTGAGGGGCTTGATTCACTGAAGGACTGAACTCTCAAATGCAGCTCAAGTCAATGGGAATTTTTATTATACCTATACAATGCTATAAAACTTTACATTCATGGAAAAAATCAGGTTAGATGTACCTCAAGCCAGTCACCCAAATTTAACAAGCAATTCTGAAGTTCATGACTTATTTCTCTCTAAAGTGAGCACAGTCATACCATCTTACCAATACAGTAATGCAATATTTATGAAGGCACATCAGCGATCCCAAGGAAAAAAAAAATCAGGGCAAAACAAATAATTACATATAATAAGTTATTTGAAGGGAGAAACAAATGAAGGCATATGTAAAGAGGATAAGGTACAGTCACAATGACTGAGGAAGTTGTTAAAGCAAAACCTTTGTCTACTATGTTGTTTGCATTTTAAGCATGCGATTATTTATTAAAGACTATCATAGTTCATCTGCAGAAGGTACCGGTATTAAGACAGCGTAACTTCTGAAGTCCCGAGTGACTAACATAACAAGACTGTTACATGAATTTTTTTCTAAATGCTGTTTCATAAGGACTCTCTTTGCTTGTTTTGAAGGCAAATCAAGCACCTTAACTCCTTTACACCAAGATGTTCTGAATCTCATGGTTCCGACAGGATCAGAACCTTCCAGAGCACATCTCACTACAAGCAATTTATCATCCCATATATTAGGCTACAGAATTTTACAAGTGTGTGCTGACTACACTGTCGCACCACCTTTTCCTGATACATTAAGAGATACTATAACACAGTTAAGAAAAAGTCTCAAAAATTTTAGTGAACAGCACGTGATTTTACGCATGACGTATTTCCACTCTTGCAAAACGCAAATTGGTTTTGTCTGAAACGAAAGTCCAACAAAACCCAAAACCTACAATCTGAAACATAACCAGTTAAATTCAAAAAATTAGCGCCTTGGTAGCTACGAGCAAGTGAAAACATAATCTTATAATTAAAGGCGCGTTTAGCATCCTGAATACAAGGTGCTATCAGCCCATTTTAGAGTCGCGATCATGTAACAATAACTTCAGATGTCAGCAGAGAAGTTGTTACAGTACAGCTCCGCTTCTGGGGGCCTTTATTCAAACCGACTTGAGGTCATATACAAACACAGCATTTCAAGAATCATATCCCAAATACTATCACAACACAAATCTAGCAGAGACTTTGCCAATGTTTAGCCAAGTCTGGCAATATTTTTGGAAAGGCCTGGGACTGAGCAGCACCCACACAGCTAGTCACAACTAAGGCATGCAACAACAGATTGGAGCAGCAGCACAGCATCACTCTAGTAGTGTCAGGATCACTACTCCTTTGCTTGAGTACCAACTTCAGTTCCAAGCTTTAAATACAGTATTTGAATACTACTTACAAACTGATACGTTGTGACTACTCATATTCCAACAATGTCACACCAGGCACATAACTGTATTTGGATTTTAAAAGGCAATCTGTGATATAATTAAGAGTGAATTTACTATATCATTTTTAAGAGAAAATGACTTTTTTTTTTCCTTTCAAGAGTTTGTTCTTTTTTTTTTTTCCTTTTACATGCAAAATCTCTTTGCAAGTTAAAAAAGCCCTTTTAATTTAGTATGACTTGGGAAAAATAGCAATTTTTCTTTTTTTTTAAACTGTGAAAGGTCTGAGCGTTAACTGATCTAGATTTGCCTGGGTACTCACTCTGTCGCACAGCTCTTCAAATGTGAAGTCTGCAATGGTTCCACACGCTTTATTCAGCCTCAGCTCTCTGCCTTGCACTTTTAGAATCCTTGGTCTAGTTACTATGGGAACATGAACAAAGACTCAATCTTCTCTGGATAATTACTATAAAATTCATCTCTTACAGATAGGAAATGCATAGCTTGATGAATAATAGCACATGATTCAACACATAAATTAGACAAAATGCTGATACAATGACTGCCACTTGAGTGTGGCATCAACCCATATACAGCAATGGAACTTATTAATTGGTCAGTGGAGATTGGGCATTGTGTTCTAAATGTATTCTCTTTCAAGAGAAATTAACTTACGTACAATCATTTTGTTTCTGAGCCAGCTCATCAAACAACTTATCCATGACAGCCTCCACATCAGCTTCACTTGTGCTACAGTGAAAAGAATAATAGAATATGAAATTAATAACACTTGAAGCCAACATCAAACAGCTGCCTGAGCCTGCTTAGCTTTTTGCCCATAAAAAAAAGAGAACAGGATGTTATGCTCTAAATACAAACATTAGATTTAGAATACACTTAAAAGTAGAGAATATTAACTCTCAGGTAGATGATTCTGCCTTATTTGCATACACTGAAAGACTTCTGTGTTTTGAGCCGTTTCCAGTAATGAGGCAATACAGGCAGAGCAGATCCATTAACACTATGTGTACACAATGAGAAAAAAGGCTTCTGGCTCTATCTTGCATGCAAAATAAGAGCAAATAGACAAGGCAAGGCAGTCAAGCATCTAAAGAAGTATCCTTTCGAATTTCTCAGAGAGAGGACTTTGTGAAATTAAATATTGGAGCAGCTTTCTGAAAAAAAAAATCAAGTCAACTGTCTCTATTGATGAAACAATTTCCAACATTAAACTATTAAATTCAGAATACTGGAATGATCTCTACATTAACAATCCTATCCGTTTTTTTTCAAAATATAATTCAGGAAAAGATCAATCAGCACCAGTGAAGCCCCATACAAAATATCTGTGCTTAGAGTCTAAGCAAGGTTTGTATTAGTCTTCCAGTTACCCCAAGAATTATAAATCAGCTGATCACAGAATATTTTTGTTCCCCATAGAAATGTTAGCCATAGAAACTCTATGTGCTTCATTCTTAAAGAAAGAGGATAAATAATATTTGTAGCTGAGTTTGAAAACCGAGAATCTATTAGAAAACTGATAGAATTCAGATGTATAAAACTTCACTGAAGTTTGTATAATACAGCTTGTATTTAAAGTCTACTGTTTTAGACCATGGATGCACTCAAGCTGCATTGCTTAACACAGTTCTAGATCTCCTCTAAATAAGCAGCGATGATCAGCATGTTACACAACCACTTTCCTGTTCATTAGGCCCTAAACACCTGAAAAAATATTAGCAATAGAACTGATTTAGAACCATTACTGAGCTCAAGATTAGCTACAGCAAACCTGGTATGCATAACACACAGAATTTGGAAAGAGGGAAAAAGGGAGTTCAGCAAGTACCATTTCAAATACTTAAAAAGCATTTTCTGAATGGGAAGGTACAATAACTTTTTAATTCAGATGAAGTTAAAATTTCAACCTCCTAAAATTTTTCTCTCTTGATATTTCAGCAGTGCTTTCCTGTGACAAAATGACAAATGCGTAGAAATAGACAAAACTAGAAACAAGCCATAAATGGGGGAGAGAGTGTGTGAGTGAGTGTGTGTGTGTGTGTGTGTGTGTGTGTGAGTGTGTGTGTGTATATCTATATCCGTGTGCACTCATGTGTATGCACATACATATCAAAAAGTTTGATGTAAAGGCTTCAAGAAGAAATGTTGGAATATGATGCCAAGAAAGTTTGTTCTGAAAACAGACACCTGAGACTGAGATCAAGGAAGCTGCACTGATCGGGAATCTTGTAATTATGTTACGCTGATTGCTTTCAGATTAGTATTAACAGCTTTAACCAACCTTTGGCTGCATGTTTTAAATGAAGAAAAGACTACCCAGATTACAAAGCAACAAGTGGATTTAAAAAAAAATATGATACTACATCCATTAATCACAGCATGTAAGCATGTTGGACAAGAACATCTTTTTGGGACAAGACTGAAATAAATTTCAAAAATCTATAGTAAAATATTTTACGGTACATTATTCAAAAAACTCACTAAGCTGGGTTCTGCAGGATTGAAAGTCCCAATGAACAAGTTTGAATAGAAGAATGAATGCAATTCTGTCAAAGATAGATAGATAGGAAGGAAGTTGAAACAAGTATCTTATTTCCATGGGCAGCTACAGGATTTTTCTCATTTTTTCACTGCTTCCTACTGCATTGCACGAAGGGCTCTAGCGATAACCAACATCCTTCCAACGGCAGAACAGGGGACAGACTTAGCACCAATCTCTGCTCTTCATCTAGTCCGAAGTTTTGCAGCAGAAGACCATGAAATATTCCAGCAGGACACTCCTCCTGGGGCTTATTCCCACACTCCCTCTCCTCTGGGAGCTGAGCCTGTAGGTGCCATGTTGACCTTGCTGCCTGCTGGCAGCCACAAATAGAGTCTTCCACTTCCTCAGAGTATGCGCAGTGAGAGAGAGTTACGTTTTTCTATCAAACAGAAGGTCGCAGAGTGCAAGGGGCACAGTAAGCAGAGCCTTAAGCATGGGCAGCTACGTAGACATCAGAACAAGAGCCAGAACAAGCAGTTTTGAGGTAACAGTGGCTACTCCAAACAGTATTTCTAAGAAAACATCAGAAAACTTTATCAAAGAAACTGGAACCAGGCAACAATATGGAACAAGAGTTACTTTTCACAGATGCTAAGCATGCTGACTTTATACGGTCACATCTTGTTTGTGGATACAAACCTGCATATACTTGACATAGATTTTTCCATATATAGAAGGTTGTCATTACCTTCCAGAAAGAACAGAAAGAGTTGAATTGGTGCCTAAGCATGTGCAAGTAATAGTGGTAAATGTCAAACCTCAACAGTTGTGACAAAGGATAACATTTCAACATAAGCATTTCGAACAAAAATGGGGAAGAAACCTGGCATTTAACTTCCATTATTTTATAAAAAGTTTATTTCAGAAACAATTTACTGTTGTAATTTTACTAAGCAGTACTTCCTTCCTCCAGACAAACAACTACAACTTTATAAAGTGATATAGAGTTATTTCACTTCAAACATCCATCGCATTGGTGAAAATACTGTGCCTTTCTTAATGGAAACATGCTTTCTTTTTAAATCAATACTATATGCTGGATACAGTGGTTATAAATCTCATTTTAAGCTATCATTGATGTTATTTTAAAGAAAATAGATGTTTTTATTATGCATATATATTATTGAAAGTACAACTGTGAATGTATTCTTTAAATATATGTCTTATTTGCAAATATAGAATAAAGAGATAAAGTAAATTTGTCATGATAAACAGAAACAATTAATCTGTCAAAATAAGAGTTGGGTTTTTTTGTTTTTTTTTTTTTTTTTTTTATAATCGTCTGCACTGGAAACACCCAACATTAACTGAATCCTTGTCATTGGATTTCTATAAATACTTAATTACTTAAATACAATAAGGATGTTCTTCTATTATAAGAGAATTGTGCAATCTCTTACAAGAGGATATTCATTACTTTCTAACCATCTGTCACTTCAGTTCTCCAAACACCACACCTCCCCAAAAAATCTAATTAGTTTTTATTCAGTCACACATTATAAATGATGCTAGTGTGGATACTGAAAATGTAGTTTAATGAAGTTAATATCAAGGCATAATGGAAGGCGGTTTGCTGAACAAAATGGACCAGAAGGCAAAGAAAGGAAAAGTCACACCCTGCTAATTGTATTATACATTTTTCATTTCCTATTGACTAAGAAATTAATGGTTAATAAAGAGGAAAAAGAGGGCAAATACCCCATCATCAACTTACAGGTAGTAAAGTTTTCCAGCAGCAGGAAGCACTCGTTTCCTGTAGTCTATTCCAGAATCAAGCTGGACTGTGCTGCAGTATTTCTACAGAGACAAAAAAGAATAGCTTTCCTCAAGTCAATGCTATATTTATTGTCTGTACTAGAGAGAAGACGCACTGCTGTGATAAACCATCAGCATGAATACCATCTACAAGGCTGAAATAAGACCACAAAATTGAAGTCTCTTTTGCAATTACTTAAGGAAGGAAATAAGCCGGAAGTCATGTTTAAAAGGACACAATCAAATTCTGGCAACAGGGATGACTAAGATTATTTTTATCAGCTAAAAAATAATTGTATCTTTTCATGCTGCTACAACAATTAAAATTTTTTGAGTTGAACATTAAATACATAAAACAACCTAACTCTTGCTGAGAAATGGACTAAAGGGGAATGAATGAAATTCTCTGTTTTGTTTTTGTAATGTCTGATGTGGCTCAGAAAAAAGTTGTTTTTTTCTCTCTCTCTAAACAACCTTCCTATTTCTGCCTGTAATACGGATATCACTGATTCGTCTCCAAGTTTACTGTCACAATAATTGCTCCTGCAGGAAAACCCAAAACCACTAAAGGGTGCATTTTTTGTTTCAAGGTCTGATGATGGTGGCAGAATTCCCATTAATCTCAGTGGGATCAAGATTTTGTTCTCTGGCAAAGGAAATACATCTCTGCTTCTCTTTTGTTATTACTACTAACACACACAGCTTCTGGGTGCCACACAACTACAAGCAAAAGAAGCTGTAAAAGAAAGGGAGGAAAAGTTTTAATATTTTAAAAATATCTATCAAAATAGGTATTGCCAAAATTAATGAAAGCCATGAAACGTCTCTTTTTTTTTATAGGTAGCTCAACATCACTTAAACTACTTTGGCAGCATGTAGATTCTAGCAATCTAAACTAAATTAGTCTGCATCTTCACTGCACTATGAATGATTAGGTTACCTCTAATACTTTCACTAAACATTTCATATTTTGCATGCTAGAAATTTTTCAAAGCTCC